CTTCTTTTCATGGTTGCTTTTAGGGAGCCTTCCTGCAGTAGTAACTTGTTTTTTGTGTGACCCCTCTTGGTAGCTTTAAGAATTAGTTTTAATCATGATGTTAACAATGCACTTGCTTTTTGTTGACATAGCAACAGTAAAATAGAGAGTGAATCCTATGCTAATTTGGAAGACATGACTGCTCACAGAAAAATTCCAGATTACGCAACAGTGCCTTGAGAATAACTAACCTGTTTCTGGATTATGTAAAAACCATCTGGAGCAAATATGTTATACTGAGGGAGAACTGAGAACTTGAGCACATATTTGAAAAATATTAGCATTTTTATTTTGAAGATAATTAATTAATAGGCTTTCTTCTCTTTGAAAAGATCTCTCTTATCTTTATGTCAGAATAAGAAAAGTGGGTTGATACGGACATTAACCTGATCTTCGGAATTTATTTAAATTCAACTAATAGCCTTTCTTTTTTGCCTAGATTTGATTATTACAGCTGGAGGTGAAAACGTGCCTCCAATTCCAATTGAAGATGCCGTTAAAAAAGAACTCCCAATTGTTAGTAATGCTATGGTGATTGGAGATAAAAAGAAGTTTTTGTCAATGTTGCTGACTCTAAAGGTACACCAGTTTTAATATTGATTTCAGTGAAATTATACACCTGCACCTAAAAAAACCCAAGAATTTTGAACTGTTTGTAAAAAGACACAAAATTAGATAAGAGGAAATTAGTGGGGAAAAAATACATAGCAACTACAGACCAAATCCTGATGGTCTAAACTTCTTATGATTAGATGATCTGCTAAACATCTGCATGTTTACTGCTGTTTCATAGAATCATAGAATGCTTTGGGTTGGAAGGGACCTTTAGAGGTCATCTAGCCCAACCCCCCCTGCAGTGAGCAGGGACACCTTCAACTAGATCAGGTTGCTCAGAGCCCCATCCAACCTGGCCTTGAATGTTGCCAGGGATGGGGCCTCCACTACCTCTCTGGGCAACCTGTTCCAGTGCTTCACCACCCTCATTGTAAAAAATTTCTTTCTTATATCTAGTCTAAATCTATTCTTCTTTAGTTTAAATCCATTATTCCTTGTCCTGTCACAACAGGCCTTGCTAAAAAGGTTGTCCCCATCCTTCCTGTAGGCCCCCTTTAAGTATTGGAAGGTTGCAATAAGGTCTACTCGCAGCCTTCTCTTCTCCAGGCTGAACAATCCCAACTCTCTCAGCCTGGCCTCATAGGAGAGGTGTTCTCCTATACATATAACAAGACCTTATTTATTTATTTATTTAAATGCAAATTTTTAATTAAGAAATGTTGAAAGAGTGAGAAATCTCTTTAACAGGGCACAATAATAGCTTTTATTCTTACAGATTGCAAAGACAACAAATGCTTCTGTTACAGGCAAAACCAGTTTCTAACAGAAACTTTCCAACAGAAGCAGACTTTCCAACAGAAATATTTCTCTACAGTTTTTTCTGTCCATATAACACGAGAAGGATGACTGTAGAACAAAATAATTAATAGCTGTGCTGTGGTATATGCTTCAATTGAGGAATCACTTTTTTCTAAAACGTTTGCACTTCGTGTTCTGTGTACATACATAGTGAGCGACCCTTTAGTTTTTCTGAAGCTGTTTACGATTGATACTCCCTATCTACAGGCACAATTGAAATACTAATTTAAGAAGTCTAGCTTCAAAGAATGCTTCTATCTCAAGCTGTTTACATTACACCACAGTAATTCAATCTAATGATGAGCTAAATGTTCCCCTGTAACAATGGAGTAATTTGGAAAATATGGTAGAAATTCAAGGTCTATAGATGAACTTTATTTCCTGATCCATTGACACGTTTTAAGTCTGTTCATGTCATCTGCATATAAGGCAAAACTATTTGCATTTGGTAGCCAAGTGGAAAGAAAAGCACTATCATCTGTAGGTGTTTCTGCTTTTTAAGGCTTACAGAATGTTTGGGTGTTGATGCTGAGCCTTCTTGATTTTTACTAGTCAGGGAGGACCTGATCAGAGAGACATTTAATGCCTTGTAAGAGTGAGCATTTGATGATTCACTTAATTTGGTATTTTAGAGTGTGCTGGACCCAGATACGTCTGATCCCACTGACATTCTCACTGAGCAAGCTAGAGACTTCTGCCAGAAGACTGGTAGTAAAGCTACTAAAGTATCAGAGATTGTAGCTACAAGAGACCAGGCGATCTACCAGGCCATTCAGGAGGGAATCAACAAAGTCAACATGAACGCTACTAATAGAGTTCATTGTATTCAAAAATGGATAGTCCTGCCAAGAGATTTTTCCATTTCTGGGGGAGAACTAGGTAAGATTTACTGATTTATATTGAGGTATACACACAGTAAAGAGGCTGCTGATCTAAGAGTATTCAAATACAGTTTTGTATGCCAAATTCCAGGTACAGCCACTAGAGGGAAAGGAAAAAAACGTTATGCAGCATGTCTTAAAGAATACAAAAATTTTAGTTTTTGCTGTGTACTTATGTATCAATCTGTGCTCATTTATGAGTACAGCTTTACAGTTAAATTTCAGATTGCTTTGGGCAATTAAACAATCAATTCTGGTTAATTCCTTGTGCATTACAGTATTAATAACTTCCAGTAATAATACTGAAAATTTCTCGGTTAAAAAAAAAAAAAAAAGAGAGAGAAGCAAGACAATGAAAGCCTGACAACAGAGCTCCAAGCACATTACCAGGCTCTTTGAATAAACTGGGAATGGTTTAAAAGCTTTCAAAAACATCATCCTTTTAATTATTTTTATTGAAAAAAGTAGTAGTAGTCAGTCATCACCCTCTTATCTGCAGCTCCCTTTGAAGGCCTCATGCTTATCTGGAGGCAACCTTACATACCACGCTTGCTTCTCACTTTTAGCAGGTATCCACACTTACAGAGTGGGTGATGTTCTTCCAAACAGGCTCTTCAATAGAAAACCTTAGGAACCAAGGCTCAAACTGAGTAGGAATTTTTGTTCCTATTTCTGCTGTTGTGACTAACTCCCTCTTTTAAGGTCCAACAATGAAGTTAAAACGGCTCACTGTGCTTGAGAAGTACAGAAATGAAGTAAACTCCTTCTATGAAGAATAAGAAGTCTTTCATCCAAGCATTAAGGAAAATTTGTGAGCTAAAGAAAGTATTTCCTAATCAAAATCATTAACGAAGATTATGCTTGTTTAGGTTTTGTAGTTTGCTGAACTGAACCACTAGAAAACTGCTGTGTCAATTTAGTTGTCCTGAGACTCACCTGATTGTCCTTTTTACAGAAGCATCTCCACAGTGTCTGTTTTCTAATACTGTTTTTATTTTATGCCCTAAATGATTAAGATTAAAAACATCCTCTTGTGTTGTATAAAGCGGGTATAACTAATTAATTCTGCTAGACTGAAACAGAAGGAAATTTTTTTATATGGTGATCTTCCCTTATAATTTTTTCTTCTACAGGAGGTTGCCTGTAGTTCAGATACATTCTGGTAGATCAGTAGTTAGCAGTACTGCTTAATGAAACTTATACCACTCCAATGATACAGATAATTATTAAAAAAAAAAAAAAAAAAAATCAAAAGGGCTGTGTTTTTTCCCTCCCAGAGGCAAGTTTGGTTTTCTTCACTAACACATTTCTGAACCTAAAGCCACTCCTCTTCCAGTTTTACAGTGGCAAGAACTCAGACTTTTGTGAAAGCAGCAGCTCATCATTTCTTAAATTCATGTTGAAATAAGCGTTACTATTTCTCCTAAAAACAAATAATAAAAAAAGTTGGGGGAAATATCTCCCTAAGATTGAAAGACAAAGTAGCAAATACAGGAGCTCTCACATGAAAGTGCTATTTAGAACAGAAACTTCTTTAAAATTGTTCACAGTGCTTTTTTAAGCAGAAGTGTTTAGAAGTAATGTTTGTCAGTGTGTTGCAACACTACCTGTGTGTTTCAATATTCACATCATACTAATTCTGACAAATGTGAGCTGTATTTCTTCTTCCCCTTATAAAAAATAAATCATATTGACAGAAAGTTGTCTAAAGGGTGTGCTGTTAGTACGTATCTTTGGCAGAGAGTTATAATAGCTAACACAAGCAGGCAGGCTACAGCCACTGTTCTTGATCAAAAAAGTCATGCAGAATAGGGTATTGTTTCCATGAAAGTTCCATTACCAGTCTTACACATCTTACAGACTTAAGATTTGTTGCAAATACGAACAATCAGCTCAACACCTAAGATGAGACAGCAGCCTAGGATTATAAAAACAAAACAAGCAATAGGACTTCAAAAAGTTTATTTTTCCCCATTTTGTGCGTAATGGTAATTCAGAAGTTCTTTAACAATATTAATCTAAAGGAAACAAGGAAGCAGCAGCTCGTAAGACACAGAAAGAAACATTGCCCTATTCACCAAAAGCAGAGTGCATGAGGAATAAAGCTCATTGTCCCTCCTCCAAAATGTTGTTAGACTGTACAAAAAAAGCTGGGCAGCTTACTTTATAGCATGACACTATAAGTTGTTATGAAAAATTGATTTTACTTCTGAAACAACCAGCCTAAACAGTCTTAACAGAAAGTAACTAAGTGGAGTAATAGCTATTAATAGAATTAAGCTTTAAGAAGCCTGGTTCTGGCAGCAGGTATAATCCTGTGCTATAGTCATGAGTTTTAAAATACACATTTTCTTGTAGGGTGTACTAATAGAAGCATACCTTAAGACATACAGATCAGAATGACTCATGTGACAACCTGTATGTGATGAAGAAGCAAAGGAGAAGAGTTGCTTTTGTGCCCATTAAGCTTAGTAAGCAGGGAAAAATAGTCTCAGATCCCCCTGAATAGGGATGAAATGTATTTCTGGAACACAGGCACCAGAGCCAAACCTTCTATCTGTCTTAACCTATTTAGGACTAGTCCCTTACATTCAGAGTTTCTAGAATAAAATTACTAGTCAATACAGTAAGACACACTGAACACACTATGCATAAAAGTACAACACAAAAAGCATTCTAGCAGAAGTCATGAAATATTTAGTATAAATTTGCAAAGTTAATACTTTCCCCTCGCAATATATGGCAGAAGTAATTTTGTATCATTTACTCTCATTAGAATTCTGTTGTAAAGTGTGTTTCAGAGAGGAAAATTTGTAAGAATTATTTTGGTATATAGATTTGAAAAATAATTTTACTTCAGTATTAATTCTCACCCCTTGCTGATTAATGGTTGTGTTTTTTTTTAAAATACACAAATAGATTAAATCTCTAGAATTTTGTATTTCTTTATTCTTGCCCTTGGAGGCCAAGGCTATATTTCATGAATCACCAGAGTATCTAAAGTGTTTTTTTCATTGCTTTTAACATGAAATTGCTATTTTAAGCAATTACTTTATACCCGTTTCTGTTTATGAAGGTCATCTTGTGCTACTGTTAGGCTGAAAACCTATCTTTTAAATTTCAGTAAGATCAATAAAGTAGGTTTTAGCCATTAAGGTGCTTTTACATTTCACTAATTCTGTTACTGGTTTATTTGCATAATTTTTCTGTGTGGAAAGCAAAAACCTCTAGTTGAAATGGAAAATGGTAGACACTTACAGTGGCAATAAAAGAATTCACTTACATAAAAATGTTCACCAGATAGAAAAAAATAAATAAGACAAAGCACTTAGAAAAGTCCACTGAAAGCAGGCACAAGCATCATTTGTAGCCATTTGGACTAAATTTATTAATGGAGAGGCCCTAACTAAAAAGTTTGCTCTCTTAAGAGACAAGCAAACCATATGTGTGTCAGGTTACATATAATGTACTTTGTGTGATGTGTCCTTTCGGAGTTATTACAAATAGTATGAGAAAAGTTTAGTCTGTGTCCTGTACTCTGCGGCAGATCTCCTCTGTGAATTCGGAACACTTGGCGCTACCTCCCAAGTCTTTTGTCAAGATCTGAAAGAAAGAAAAAATAGTATTACTAAAATGTTCAGTGGGGCTAGTCTTGTCTCTGAACAGGTCTATATGTTCTTCTTACATGTTGCGTATGGGTACTAAATAGGGGTGAGAAGGAATACATCAAGTTTGAGTTTTTCTGCATCCCATATAGCCTTCGTCAATAAGGACTATACAGACTGAAGCAGGTAGGGAAAACCTGAGTATGAACATCAAGCATTACGTTACCAGATTTCAACATGGTTTTATCTTAACTACAGGAAGAAAGTGTGTTTGGCCAAAGCTCTCCAAAGTCCCTTGGCCACATAATAGTGTAATTAATTATTAAGTATTTAAGTTTTCACTAAGAAGTTTGTCCTTTGGAAGTAAAATTCATATATGAAGGCTCAGTGCAAAGGCAACTAATTGACAGACATTCAGTAAGGTTTTGGGTTTGTTTCTTTGTTGTTTTTTTTTTAAAAGGAAACCCACACACAAAAAGCACACATAGCTCTTAACACTGCATGTTAACAGTTCTTTAAGTTTGCTTAGTTTAGTTAAGAGATGGAAAAATGCAGAGTTAAAAGAAACTTTTTCATCAAGTAGAACTCCTGTCTGGCAGCATGAAGGTAGTAAAATCAAATAGAAATTGGACAACGTTGTGTGTCCATCCTAGCTAGATTAAAGCAGTCTAAAATCATTAGTTTTCCCCTTACATGACACACATAGAAATCTTAATTAAATGGCTGCGGGAAAGGGAGGAAAGGGAGAAATAGCAAGCATGAGAGGCAATAAAGGTTACTATTTTAGGGTCTTGTAATTTTAACTGCATTATGCTTTTTTCAATTTAAAAAGATTCTCTCCATTGTGAGCATATAATTATAATTTTGTAAGTAACTAGTAAACAAGTAGCCATGTCACAAAACTTGCATTATGTTATCTTCCATAGAATTACTGACCTGCAGATGGAGGATTTCACTTCCAGAGCAGTAAATGGGAACTTTACAGGAGCACCTCTTTATTCACTTGTAAGTTTAGATTTTTTTTTTAACTGGCTCCTACACACAGTAAGATAGCTGCAAACAGACCACTTATGAAATGACAGCTTTTTGTTTAAGCATGCTTGTTACTTTTAATTACAAAGCAGCTTCTTATGCTCCTGCCCAAGATAATTGAACCAGCATGGCTAACTGCTAATCCTCTTTAACTGCAGTCTTCAGGATCTTTCCAGCTATGTTTTGAAAAGGTGGATGTCAAAGTAGATGAGTGAACAAGTAACATTAAGAACACAAATTCAAGTCAGGTTTCAGAGCATAAGCCCTGCCCCCCCCCACCCCCCAATATCCCATTTGAGTCTTGAATCTGGAGACAGTTATTGCCAAAGGGAAATCACATACAATCTTAAGGCAAAATATAAATACTGGATAAAAATTGTTCTTTTGTAGTCCAAAAGAGTGAAAGCAGTTAGGAGTCAAAAAGAAAAGAATTAACCTGAAAAAAATAGGTGCAGAAGTATTACAGTCAGGACTGAAATGCTATAAACAAAGGGGATGATTAAGCCTGTGGAAGGCAAATGAGTGTCCTTCACTTCAGGCTCCTGACTTAAATATATATGCCTTGTGTGCATTATAAACTTCACAGGTGAAATACCACTAGTTACTTAAATCTCTAATCCCCTTCATGAAAAACAGGCATCCAGTTCTAGCTTCTAGAGTTAACAAAGCTGTGGAAATGTAGAATGAGCATTATGGAGACACAAGGAATGCTACATCCTGTCCTTACTACTGAGCTGGACAGATTTAATACCACCAAAGATAATATAGCTACTATCAGAGAAGGATAGCGGCACTGCTCATGCGTCAGGCCAATGCAGCGGGTCATCCACGGTTCTGGTGTTAATGTTCTAAGTTAATTTTTACTGTGATAGAGTATGATTTTAATTCACTGCATTTATTTGCACACCCTCATATTACCTTTCCATCTTTAATTGTATCAAAGCAAGCTGTCTCAATTTTTGTGGCATGTTTGTGTAGTCCCATGTGACGCAACATCATTACAGCACTCAGAAGAAGGGCAGTTGGATTTGCCAAGTCTTTTCCTGCGATGTCTGGTGCCGTTCCATGAACCTAGAAATAAAAGTGAACCTATCTGTTACAATGCCAATATGCTGATTAAAATGTCCTAGGCAATTCAAATG